CACTCCAATGACTAAGATGAGCCTGTGGCTGTTGACTTTCGCGATCGTTTATGCGGGTTTTAAATTGTTGTGTGGGGTGGCACTTCTCAGGTCACCTACTCAGAATGGACAATGTTAACTAGGACACTAAAGAGACCCTTAAAAATCACTTACTCAGGACTGGACATGTATATAACTGGTAGATGATCTGAACGCACATTAAAAATGAAACTTTTTTTGAAAAAATTAAACAAGACAATTATTTTTTTTAATGTTTTTGCACAATGTTGTATATATATCCATACAACTGAAAATGTTTTTTTTTTCTCCTTAATCTCTTATAATTAAAGAAGTTAGGTGTTTCAAGTTTAGCATTTTCCTTCAGATGAGATGCAATCAAGCATTTACTTTGCATGTATGAAACACAACCTCTTTTCAATATGAAGTGCAATTAAATGAGTCAAAGCAACAAAAATGCATTAAAAGTTCAATGGACAGAGCTCCGAAAAATAAACATCAAAAAGGTATGCAGATGATTGCGATCATGCCGATGTATGTGGTTTCAAATGTATGTTTCATGTGTATTCTCTAATGAAGGGTGTTAAATAATGACTAGACGGCTTCCTAACTGTGCCCTTGACTAAAAGCTGAGATTCTGGTGATACTAAGATCTGTGTGTTTTTCTGTGTGTGTGAATTGGGGAGATAGCTTGTAGAGCTTATAAACAATGCCCTCAGATACTATCAGGGGTTTTATCTACAAGTACCAGTATCAACCTGACCATGGCCACTGTACTTAAAGCTAACGTCTCTGTGTCTGTGAGCATACATACATGTTTCAATTTCCAGATAGAAATGTACATGATAGGACTTAGTTCTTCCAGATTTGACAAAAGAATTATTTTTAGCCCTCAACCCCCTCCCCCTTTGGTCCACCTTCAATTCTTTTAAAAAATTCTTTTCAAAAAAGCTATAATAGACTTCATTGGTGAATGTGAAAGATATAGTAGGTACAAAACATTATCACAAAGTATTTCTTCAATCTGATTCACAATAACTTGTCAAAATACAAACTTTGGTCAAACACAACTTTAAAAACAAGCAATTATTTAGTACATTGTACTTAATATATTAACCACAGCAGCAATTCCTGACTATATCTAATTAACACATACAAAACTGTAAGTTACAAAAAAAGTTAATAAATAATTTGACCGATATTTACAGCTCTAAGATTTGACTAGCTATAATGTCCACATTTTTACACAATAAACATTTACACTGAAATAACCAAGACTGTATGTAATTAAAGCTTATCATCTAAACCTTAAGCAGATCTATAACCCCTTAATCCAATTTCACAGCAATCGCAAAGTTCTGGCTCATGTGCTAGGTACAATGTGGCATTAATGAGCGGTATCTATTATCATAAAAAAAACATGTTCACATAATCATTAATTAAATTATCAGCAAAGCCTACTTCTGAGAAAAAAAAGCAATAAAATGGCAACCCTCTCTCTTATTTCTTGTTGACACAAATGAAGATGAATATTCCATATGTTTCACAAAAATCTTAAAAATTTGTTACATTAAACATGATTATGCATAAATTTGTGAATGTGAAAATGAATTACATGTATTTTTCTCACACACAAAAAACTTGTTCCTTTATTTGTACAGAAACTAACAGTTAATCAAACACATTGGACATTTGGCTTAAAGTAGAACAAACACACAGACAAAGTCCTGGATCAAGATCCAGGATCTCTATTCAGAATTTCAGGGGTCCTTTGAATCACTTCTGTTAATACATGCATTGAAGCATAACTGGCAGATTTAGAACCAATACACATGGTCATTTGAGCCCCATTCAACCCGGAATCACAGTGGACAGAATGATAGAGGTGGACCATATCCGGATCCACCCCACGAAATATTTGGATCTCACTGTCACTAAATTTGGTATATAGGTCTACATCCTCCTTCCCCCAGCCCTGAATACTGGTGTCAAATCCTCCTACCTGTTCTAAATCACTTTTATACATACTGGCGATCCCGAACCCGAAGTTCCGCCAGTAACCATTATCAGATGAAAGGTTGAAGTTGTCTATGTGACATGGCTTTATCTTGTAAAAACTGCACAAAAATGAAGGGTCATATTGACTAAACACAATGGGGTAGTACACTTGTGATCCCCGTTTCGTGTTCATGCGTATTCTATGTAATATACTGGAAGTAAATAAAATATCTACGTCTATGAAAAATAACAAATCATTTTGATCACATTGAACTGCTCCAAGGTCCAACGCTTTGGCACGCGCAAAAGATCCCTCCGCAAAAATCACCTCAATGTTCTCTCCCCCATATTTCTTTTGATATTGACCAATCAGATTGATGAGAGTGTCTGTGTAACTATCGTTAAACAAGACTACATGAAGCTGTGTTTTGGCACCGGTTTTTAAACAGACATCTTCATAGTTGGTCATGAATCTTTTAAAAATATTAAGTCTTCCCATCAGGGGAAGAATAAAGTGTATGACTTCTTCAACTTTGTTGGAAATGAGTGAAAGACTAGACTGGTTCCCTGCCCCAAACTGTTTGAACAGGAACGGGGATTCTATTTCATCAGGAGGAGGGTGGTAATTTGATGTGAAGGGATCTTCAATGAAGTTAATCTCACCAAAAGCTTGTTGTAGATAAGCATGTCTTCTGACCGCTACTGTCACTTTGTTACCAGTGTGTTTTTTGTAGGTCAGTAATATATCTAGCACAAAGTCAGCCCCATGAAGGGGGTTAACTCTGCGATAACCGTACCACAGATCCTTGTAATCTATCGTCCTGCCCTTCTGTCTGGCATTTCTATTCACAATCTGAATCACTTGACTGATGACGTCATCAAGGGCGACCTTGAGAGGAAAGGTCAACCCGTGACGCGGATTGAGATTTTTATGAGATACGATGGCTTTTGATATATAGTCCCAGGTTAATATGTCTTTTGTAGATTTGGGAATGATCTTGCCAAGACTTGGAGACAACCCTTGCTTGCCCATGGAAGTTTGAGCCCCTAGCATGCGGTCAATGTTAGCTACCTCCCGCTGTAAAAGAAGGCCTTTTTGTTGGAGATCTTGGATGTGAAGGGACTTGAGGTAGTTGTAAATTTTGTACTGCTGCTTGGGTTCTTTGACGGAATGCAATGTAACAGCTTTTTTCACGGCTTTATCTTTCAGGGTCGTCCTAAAAGAACCTTTCTCCTCTTTGTAGTTTTGGAAAAACAAGCGCTGCATCTGAAATGAATAAAACACAAAAATATCACTTACACCATTTAATTACTAAATCTTTAAACCTTTTCTTTTTCTAAAATGTTTGTTTTAAGTATTTGGTCATAAAAGCCAGACAGAATCAACATTAAGTTGATAATATCTATCCTAATTGCTTTGCATCATATCCTTTGAACTATGACCCAGATGAATTACAGAACTTGTACATGAACAAGGTATTACCACTAGTTTATAAAGCAGGAGCTCTTTTGAACAAGAAGGAAATTTAAGCCTATTTGTTAGAAACCCACTGAGCATTACAAGATCTTGGCAAAAAACATCAGTACCAAATGGAAAGGAACAGGTAAAGCATATACCGCAGTAACCCAGAGGCCTGTTCAACAGAGTGAATTCATCATTTGTTGAAGGAAAAAGGAATTTTGGCAAGCATTAATGAACTTTTTCTCTTTTGACCAAGCCTCTGCATTTGTTTTGTCTTGGCTGGACTTTGTTGACTCTGAAATGAAGGGTCTGTTACAATGTCTAGCGGCCACCCCTTTATCAAAATACCCACGGTCAATACTCTCTATATTATGTTCTTTATAAGCTAAATGCCACCAATGAAGCACTTGTGTAGTAATGTTTTCATTAAATAATAGTGGAGTGTTTTCAAACAACAAGGTTTTTTTTTTTAATTGTTATGAGTTGAACATGTTGAATGCTCAAAGTCAAATTAACCCCAAAGAATGATAAATATGCATCATGTGAACAGCGGATCCTTCAAATTAAAAAACATAGTTTTCAAGAACATCCGATGTTATCAGCTAAAATTTATTAATACATGTAACTTAATACATTTATAAAATTTTATTTGGTACAAAAGATGAATGAGGGCCATTACAATGTAAAATCAATGTTAAATTGCCACTTTATAACTTTCCAACATTTGTAATCCAATATGAAATGCTTCAATAGTCATTTGTACAAACAAGGTACCCTCTTACAAAAAAAGATTTCTCCCACTAGGAAAGAATTTCTATATAAAGATTAATTACATGCTTTACTTGTATGCTCATTACAAACAAAAAGGGGCTTCCTTAAAAATCACTTTAAACTATAAACACTTGATTCATCATTGTAATGATAAAAAAAAAATTTCCTTAAGAACTTTTGAAGTTGAAAAGGAAATTACAACTGACAGAATCTAAACTCTGGTTTCTTGCATATGTCTGTCTGGAGAATGAACTAGCTTGCACTAAACTCAGTAAATATGTACCGATGTGTAAAAATATATACCAATAAGAATTTAGTGTAGTTTTATTTCTTTTGAGCTGCACTAAGTAAGTCAAGTAGAGTAATGAAGTGAATACTACTAGTGCATGACTGTATGAAGCACTCAGTACAGATGACTTATACACACTCAACATAACTCTAGTGTATACTCTCAAATAAATCTGATTCTCCAAATAAATATTACAAGTTACATTATCTACCATTTCTTTCAATGATTGCTCAATGCAACAACATCTGCACTTGCAAATTTTGACTTCATAAGCAGGCAAGCATCAAAACAAACTTTCCTAGTTGCCTCTGTTTGTGTGTAAGTGTTAACAGACCCCGACTAAGACACAACTCTGGGTCTTCAGGTAATTGTTAATGAGTGGAACCTCCCTCCTTCTAATGATAAACCCAGCCACCAAGACATTCCAGAAACAGCCTCTGGTCATTATCAGGAGAACTCCCCACTTCTGAGGAAAATCCGGCATACTCTAAAACCTGGCCTGGCCCCTTTGGCCTGGCCTGGCCTCTAAGTTGGCCTGGCCTCTATTTTGGCCTCTAATTTGGCTTCAAACCAAATTTTGGCCTGGCCTCAAAAGTTGGCCTGGCCTCAGATTTGGCCTCTGTAAAAATTTTTGGCCTCAATTTTGGCCTCACTCAAAAATAATTTCTTTTTCAGAATTTGATTGATTTTATTGATTTTTTATTGGTTTCATTTTTTCAAAGATTAAGAAGGTAAATAATATATTTCTGTTGATATGTAGATGTGAATATTAAAATAATAATACTCTACCACCAATATGATTTATTTTATTGATTTTCTATTGATCAGTTGCAATTCTGGAGACTTTCCATAGTAGGATTGAGGATTTTACAAAGTAAAACATTTTGAAACATCAATTTAAATTATTTCTTTTTCAGAATTCAATTGATTTTATTGATTTTTTAAAATTAGTTTCAGTTTTTAAAAATCAAAGCAGATAAATAACATATTTCTGTTGATATGTAAATGTTAACATTAAAAATAATTATGTACTACCACCAATATGATTTATTTTATTGATTATCAATCAATCAGTGTACACTTATTTCATTTTATGATTTGATGACAGGTATCTTATACCGACACTACCGACACTCTTGCTTAATTATTTAGAAAAAAAGTATCAGTCTGAGAGTTTATTTTGTGTTTTCCAAATTGTGCACATTGAAAAATCTCTAAGTCATATCAAATGTCATTAATAGCTTTGAAAAATTCCCACTTGTTAAGTGATGAATCATCACTTTTCACACACTGTAGAGTGTTGTGTTGTGTGTGTCTTAAATGTGATATATGAATACAGGCACCAAAGAATTTTTAAATAAATAAACTACCATATACCAATGCAGATACCAAAATATTATTTGTAAAGAATTTCCTACTACAAGTTTCACTAATTATCAAAACAAAAGTTGAGTTTGATGATAGTTTATTAACATTTGTGCTGTAAAACATTTGCATCCTACAACCAACCATTAGAACCCTTTCATATAAAATGGCCAATTACTTGCATATGGTATTGACACTTTTTCTATCAGTTTGTAAAAGTCCACGTTATCAGAAAGATTTTTTTTTTACTGGATAAAGAGTTTATAAAACATGTAACAAGTGATACTTGAAATAGCAAATTTAAAATTCTTTTTAAGTTTTAGGTATCTGCATTTCTTTGTTTTCTTGATAATTTAAATTGGTGTAACACTTACATATAAATTTTAGAAAATCAATAAAATAAACATGTATTATTAGCACATTAATAAAGTCTTAAGTGAAAAAATGAAACCAATAAAAAAATCAATAAAATCAATCAAATTCTGAAAAAGAAATTATTTTTTGAGGCCAAAATTCTGATCACTTTTGAGGCCAGCCAAAATTTTTTGAAGCCAGGTGCAACTAGAGGCCAGGCCAGGCCAAAGGGGCCAGGCCAGGTTTTAGAGTATTATCCCACTGTTATTAACAATGCAGCTTGTAATCCTCTTATTTTCTGACACAACTTCATTAGAAGTAATACAGGTGTTAAAGACCAATGAATTTTTTACATATTAGCAACATGAGAGTCAATGAACCTTCAAACATTACTCAGCATTTAACTGCACTATAACTTTTTTAATGAAAACTCTGAGTAATGGTTTTAATTTTGATCAGCAATATTACTCAGCAAACTCAAAATACACCCCCTAAAACATGCAGTTTACTAAATTGGGAAACTGAGTCTCTAAATAGCCAATGTGTAAATCATGGGCCACAGACATGAATGTTCCTCTTTAGAGACTGTATGAGTTATATGGACATCAGACAACCTCTGACACAATTGTTTCTGTACTCTAGCAGAGAGATCAAACGCCTCAATACGGGGGTCAATGTCTCACCCTCAGCAATTGTGTGTAACAGATTGACTGGGGGTAATTAGGCAGCTGTTGCCATCACCTGATATCCCCCCACAAAAATCCTTCCCCCTCCTCCAGAGGTCAAATCAGGTTACAGACCTACACGAACTCACGACAAGTCCATACACTGTTCAATGAAAAAAATATTTTTTACTATATGGCCTATTGCACTCTGTTATACAAATGGAATTCACTGAAGATGTAATTGTCCAATGAATGGTATAAAGAAAATTTTTAATACAATGCTAAATCTCCTGATCTAAAAGCTTGAGACTTTATACAGAGTGGATACCTGCTGCTACTAAAGAGGAGAATAAAATTATGGGAAAAGAAAATGTGAGATAATTGCCGGAAAGCAACTTGGCCTTTGGTGCCATGTTCTGTTTTTCAAATGAAAATAACATAAAGCTGTTTTTCATCTTGATTAAAATTTTTGAAATTTAACACAAGAATATGCCCCCTATGATCATGTTGAGATATTTATGAAGTATTTAACAATAAACTTCATTTTATCTGGATTAATGCAGTTTTATCACCCCTATCAACAGCTAGCATCAAAGAATACCGTAACCTAGTGACCCACATCTCAATAGCTTACATACCTTACCACTTTATAGCTAAAAAAAAAATCTTCTACATCTTAAGTCATTAATGTCATTCTCTTTTACAATACATCAGAAGAGGGAGACCTTAATCTACATTCTTGTCAAATTTTGTAACGCTTTGAAAATTGAATTCATCAAGATTATCAAATTGGAAATTGAGAGCATTATAATGTGATGGATGATAAATATAACCATATGTTTTCCTTCAGCAGTATTGTTTGTATGGGAGTGGAATCTACTAAATTAATTTTGTACATGTATTTATACATAGGTCTCAAAGTTCCTAAAAAGTGATACGAGCTGTCTACAGGTTTATAGGTACAATGACCCCCGGTACGCAGGTTAACTTTTGTCTGATTGACATGGCAAAGTCAGCAGAAATCCTCCGAGTGTCTGATACAACTTAATTACGCCTGTCACACTGTCTGCCTTCCTAATTCAGATGTATTATAATTAGATACAGCTAATTACACAATTTACAGCCTTCTCTCCCTGACTATTAAACTGACATGTTCTTTTTGACTTGGCCACTTCCTTGACCAGATTTCTGTTTCCTGTTCAAGTTTGCAGGTAGTTTGACAAGAAAAATGAACGAGGAGTTGAAATTTGGGTTATCTCTCTGGCACATGAGTCACTAGAATCAATAAGATTATGTAATTTACAAAATCTTCTTCAATGCCACCAGGTTTATCCAGAACTTCCATTCAATCCCTAACCCAAACAAAACTGCCTCCTTAATCAAACTGTCACGCAGAACAATACAAGAAGTTTGCAAGGTCCCTGCAACTGTGCAATGGCAAGCAATGTTATAGTACCATTTTTAAAAGTCTTACATAAGGATAGGTTTCTTTATCACTAACACCTGGGTATTTTATTGATAAGAAGTTAAAGATAAAAGTTTATGAATGGGATCCATTTCTTAGTAAAAACTCATGAAACATTTTCAATGACAATATTAGAGACTCTTTCAATGGCTATGTCGTGTTTACTATAAAGATTTTAAACATCACATGTATATCAAATATCGAAGGTGACGACAAATTAAACAACATCCAACTTTGTATGGTGGGATAATTTTGAAAATTGTTTGTTGACCCGTCAAACTAAGTGTGTAAGTGGCCCTTTAACCTTAATCTTTCTGCCCTTTATAGTACAGCACTATACAGTTCACATGCAACAGCTATTGCTCCCTGCTCTGTGCAAAGGGATTCTCTTCATATTGGATAATTTCCGATAAAGGTATAAAAAAAGAAACCAACATGCAACAAAATTAATTATTAAAAAGATGGTCCAGAAATCTAAAATGGGCAATTCAGCAAAAATCATTGGAATCGATATCCATGCAGGCTTTGGAACTTTATTTCTTGTTGAAAATATAGCACCCCCCCCCCAAATTCAACAGATGGCTTTAATTGTCTTTGGTACTCCAGCAAGCACTGGGAATGTACTCTGAAATCTTGTTCAGTGTTTACCCCAGTTATCAGACAGACTCTGAACCATCCTTAAATTTCACAACTTTACAGCACTGAGGTCAACAAAAGCTGACATTTTATGTTTGGGAATTAACTTAATTGGGAGAAGTGCCAAGTAATTCCAACACACAATGTGTACAATATTTACAATCTTACCCCTACAAGTATGTGTGAATGTAGACTTGTTGGCAAGTATAAAAATACTTCAAAAAAATTGACCCCTTCTAGTATGAACTTTTGTGAAGTATACACATGCGATCAGCTCATCAGATGACTACCGGTGTTAACCCCCAGCATTTACTGATTCAGAAATGAAATGACTCTTAGATCCATAAAGCTTTTTTTTTTATCTTTGAGGGTAATGATTTAACTTCCGAGTTTGATGGGGGATGGAAACCCCATTAAAATCTGCCGAGGGAGACCTCAGATGAACCTCTCCAGGTTCATTCACTTCCTGATCATTAAGTCTGTCTAGAGAAATCGGGAATCCGAGGCTACATCGTTTTTTGTTTTTTTTTTGTACTACTGCCCTCAGGGAAATTGGGGTCTTTATTCCGCAGCATAATTCACCTGTCTAGAATCCACTGCTTTATCCCGCTACCCTGTTTATTCCCCCTATCTACCGGACAACACACTGTAATCGTACCCCATAGCAGACATAAATACTCCTAATAATGCCATCTATTTGATCCTTTGTCGTTTTATAGATGTTGTGAACCCCCCAAACAATAGGACTTTTTTCTTTTAAAAAATTTACCAGGTCTAAAATATGCAAAATACCATGGCCATGTGTTATTCACCATTGATTCTATAAAAACATGCACCTCCTGAAAGATGCCATTATCAGATAGATCATATGCTTGAGTATGGACCAAAAGGTCTCCATGCTCTCACAGACTCATAATGACCATAAAGATTATAATACTGAATGACTATAGCAATTAAGTCTTAATACCTGTACAGTACTTTAAAAAAATCAAACAAGTCTATCAAGCATTTTCCCTAATGAGATACCTATATCATGTACATATGCAACTCAAAATTTAAATAATTTACTATAATCACCTGCATGTGTAATTATCAAATTAGAATAACTGTGCATATAATACTGCTTAGCAATGCACCGTCATAGCTTCGTAATTATCAAACCCCAACTTTTGACAAGCTGACAAGACAAATTGAAATATAAAAGCTAAATTACTATTTAAGTTAAATCTACTGTGTAGATTGTGTACTTGACAGCAAGGGCAAACTGTAAAACTGCTGTCATGATTCTGTGCTATGTTTAACATCCATATATTCTATATATATAAATTCAATGTTTAATTTCAATACAAATTGAAATATCAATAGCCATTATTATTTTTATGTAATACACATGTACTTTAAACACTTCGAAATAAAATAATGTACTTTTCAATTTATTCTCTTTTAAGCAGTGGCTGAATTAGAATAGCCTTGTAAATAAAATGAAGGCTATGTTGGCCTTGTAAATGAAGGCTAATTTTAAGCTAATTCAGGAAAATAAAACAGATTTTATAAAACACAATGAATACTAGTAATTTAGGACCATTCTTTAACATTTGTGATCTCAATGATCTTGTGATCTTAATAAAAGATCAAGCAAAATTTTTATTATACATTTACATAAAATGTTACATGAAAAATTGATCTGAAATCCAGACTTTACCTCAAACGCCCAGGTACAGGACACGCCTGTGTGGTCCCTTACGCAACGCCCCACCTCTACGTCCTCATGGGTGGTCAGGAGGTTCTGCAGACACTCCCCCACATGGGGGGCAAACATCCTCAGGGTCATGTGGCTAAACGCCACCCCGGGGCCTCCCATACAAAAGTTCTCATTCTTGTTCAGGTATAGTTTCCCCAACTCTTCCTTCTTCCCAATTCCTGCCTGTCCAATGTACTGAGGTATTGAACTATTGATGGATCGTAGTAGTTTTTCAATACGATCCCCTTTAATGAAAACATCATCGTCCACTCTCATGAACCACTCAAAGTTATTAATATAATTGTCATACATGTATTTTAACATGAGGAGGGATTTTCTCTGGGGTGGGTAAGAGTCATCTACACCATCAATGCTAATGATGGGAATTTTATTTGAAAAAGATCCCTCACTGGAAAAAAACAATACCTTACATACACCCTGACAGGTGCTTGTCCAGGTATCAAACGCAGCAACAGCGCGAGTGTCTAGAAACTTCTTGGCAGTTATAACACCAATTAATAAGAATCCTCTTTCATCTGGTTTAATGTACCTGTTGAGTTGGAATTCCTTGGTTTCAGATACTGGCAGTGTGTTTTGAGGCAGTTGGTCACTTACATGGAAATGTTCCACAGCGATGTTAACATGATAATTGATGTGGATACAGCATCGGTCCTTCTGAGATCCGCATGGAAGTAATGTATGACGACACCATGAAGATAATAACACACCTAAACAAATTCCCAAAACTAAACCGGCCAACTTCTGAAGTTTCCACCGACATCCATATCTTCTCGCCATTGTAAACTTCTGTAAATCATTGAATATTTAATCCTGAGAGTCCTCAACTCGATGTGGCTTCACTAATGTTAACAAGGGGATTATAATTTCACAAAACATGTTACCCGTGGGAGAGCTCGAAAACGTAACTTCTGCACATACGCAAGTAAACAAAAGCTAACAACGTGTTTGTCATGTGTATGATATTTTGTCTACGATTCCTTTTGCGCCTTTTCATCGCTCTAAGTGGACACTGTAACCTTTGGTCGATCCCGTGTCACCCCTGACCAGGTTACAGCGAGAGTATACCACTTTTGAAACATTTTCTCGGACGATCAACGCTCCACTGAATTTACACACACTTATGAATGGGGAGCAAAATATTCCGGTCACCGGGTCAAGAAACGTAACTTCCGGGGATGAGCTACTTGACGCATATTACAGCTATTACACAGAATTTGAAGAATTTAGTTTCTTTGTGACAAAAAGTGTAAATCATTTAATAAAACAAAATTAAAGATTGATATAACAGAAAACATAATATTCTGAAAACATGAAGTTATGACCATGCAAAAACAACACAGCATTACAACAACAAGTTGAAAAAAAACCCAACACTTAACAACAATTAACAAAACACCTGCATATTTGTGCATATTTGGCAAATACAAATGAATCAATATTAATAGGACCTTATTTTCTGCCAATCTACACACTACTCTGATATTAATTTGAAGCATATTGAGCAGACAAGGATTAACCAATTTTGAAAAAAAAAAATATTAACATTAACCTTAGCAGTAATTTTAAAGTCAAGGTTCCAAGAATGCATTAATATACTTAGGGACAATTACCAATCTTTTTGTGAGTTTGTTCTTCTTTTCCAAAAAATGCCTGTCTTTAACCATGGCAATTACTTTTGAATGGTTGGTGCCAGGGCCTTAATTTCATATTTCAAATTCATATATTTCTTGCGACAACACATTTATTTGGGTACCAAATTTTTGTTAACTTTGACCTCAAGAGTTTGACCTACCTTGAAAAATTTTAACCTTGATAATATCTTTTGACTATGAACGGATTAGTGCTTGAGGTTTCAAATATCGCATACAATATTTCTTGTGAAAGGATCGGCCTTTCTTTGGGTACCATGCAACACTTTTGATCTCCTTATATTGACCTTTGAGTTTGACCTACATATTAGAAAAAAAGTTTATTTTCCCTATAACTTTGAAAACTTGGTGCTAGGATTTGTGACAAGATCTTCTTTTAGAACAAATATTTTTGAACTCATGGCCTCATGACCTTGACTTTCGTTTATTATCTTCTTTTGAAAAATTTGAATCTTGGCCATTTTTTTTTTTTTGACTGTTTAATTTGGCACATTGGAATTTTATATTTCATGTATACATGTATATGCGTATTTCTTTTTGACAAGATTATTATATTAAAATAATGACGTACACTAATAAAAAAAACCCAGACAGACAAATAAACAAACAAACAAGATTTACATTTATACAGGATAGCTACCATTTGTTTATATATATACATATATTTGTGTGTAAATTATTATTTTTGTATGCTGATATGTGTAACAATATTATGTTTACTAATATATACATATACATATATTTGTATATAAATTATTATTTTTGTATGCATGGATTTGTGTAACAGTAAGTGTGTGTTTGTGTATGTCACATATACCAAATATCACTGCCCAAGAGATTAGTTTGCATTAAGTTTCCGAAAATCCATGAAATTACTATTTCTGTTAATACTTAAATGATTTTTTTTTTTTTTTGACCGACCATCCGAAAATCCATATCAACCTGGAAACAACGCTTGTATTAAGTTCAAAAGCTAATTTAGTTGATTTTATTTAAATATTCATGTTAAATATTTCTTTAATGACATTTTTATTTAATTGTTTTTTCTTTTATCAAAAATTGGCTCTTGCCTTTGATTTGGTGAAGAAAAATGTCAAACTTAATCACAAGTCATGTTACATTACATTAATATCAATGACAATATATGTAATAACTCGCTTGATTGGTGAATAAACATTAAGTATTATAAATATATATATATATATATATATATATATATATATATATATATATATATATATATATATATATATATATATATATATATATATATATATATATATATATATATATATATATATATATATGGGGTATTTCTTTGTGACGAGATTATTATTTTAAAATAATAAAGTACTATGGATTTTACCGAACGCTCCTGACGTAACTCTTGAACAATATACACTGCATATGACAGAAAGCTTAGCGCCACCTCTCCAATTTGCTGCATGATATAGCTCTTTTTCTTTGTCGGGTAACTTTAAAAGATTCGGGCCTCGCCATTTGTTACTGTCATTTTTTTTTTCTATTTGATGTTTTTCTGCTCCATTTTTGGCATCAAAATAACTCAAAAGTTAATTTTAAAAAAATATCACCCTGAAAATATTGATGAAAAGATTTTGAGAGAAATAGACCCCCTTGAAATATTTCTATGATTCTGGATTATATTTAAATGTATCAATTTTATTTTCAAAAACATACATGTAATTAATTATGTATGTGATCATATACCAGAGGCATGCAGAGGACAGTTATTTATACTGATCGGGATCGAGATTTGAAATTACATTTCGTCAATTAGTCAAATCTTAATTTCCAATATGGTTGACCACCACAAGTCCAGGAGCAAGTTACATTTCTGCTGCTTTTCTCTTGCCAGGAATCATTTTTCTTCAAAGCGATGTTGACAATTGAAATCTAGGATATTTATCTTAATAATCTGCAATGCATTTAAATGGACATTGATGAATAACTTTTAAATATCGCTTCTAAAGTTAGGTTTATTTATCAAGCTGTAAAACATGGCGTCGCCTTCTCTTAAAATGAGTGAAGAAAATTTGGAAAAGAAGATGTTAAATGTATCTAATACACAAGACAGTATTCAAAGCCTTTCACTTTGGTTGATACACCACAAATCCCACCACAAACGTGTAGTGGATGTGTGGCTAAATACCTTTAAAAAAGGTAAGATGTGAAACTGAAAGTATATGCACCTTAATTCTTCAAAGAATATTTAAAAGGCGTTAATGTCACAAGAATAATTGTTTTTTGCAATATAATGGTTAGAATAGTATTACTGTGTCTTGGTACAAGTCCATACCACATTCAGAATACATCCTGATAGTTGCAATATACAAATCAGAGCAGATCTGCTCCAAAATTATTTTGAAGAATGCAAAACGAATTGCATTGAAAATAACTATCAAATTGATCTAAACAAACCTTGTTATGATTGTTTTTGCGTTTTATCATAAAAGATAGTCCATTTAAAATGCATCCTTGCAGTGCGACTGTGCCATGGGTACTGAGTCAACACATTGCAGATATTCGTGGGCCGTCTTTTGAAAAAAAATTTAAAATTTTGATTGATTTACTTATCTCTCAACCAATCACATTAATCCATTTGAGATCTGCAATTTGTAACGTGCATAATTTGAAACCTCTTTTTACATTTTCTTACTATTCATGAATTTCAAAGCTTTAATTTGATAGGTGCTTATCAATGAGAGAAGCAAGTCCATGAATATCAAATAAAATATACCAGGGGTCAAACAGCAACATGTTGACTCGGGACCCTTGGCATTATGAGGATGATAAAGGTGAAAATCTATCTTATCTCAATGTTTATACACTCAGTCCTCCTCAAATAGTTTTGGAAATTTTCCCCATATTGACATCATGCTGTGACTATTCACCCTAAAAGACCATTGATTTAGAGGTGTTTCACACTGCAGTTTATGTTTGTTTGTTTGTTTAAGCATATAATTTACATATTCCTCTGTTCTGAAGTATTTTTTACTTTGCTTTCTATAACTCAAATTTAAAATGTCACTCTTGTATTAGTTCCATCCAAGCAGAAGCTGGTGCTGTTCAACCTATGTAATGATGTTTGTCAGAATGGAAAAAGAAAGAGGGCTGGTATCTACATTGAGAGCTTTAAGAGGGTGCTGACAGAAGCTATCCCACATTCTCGGTATTTTCATACATGTTAACTCTACCGATTTAGGCGGGAGTCTACCGCTTTTTCATTCCATCTCCCGCCTACCGATTTAATTCAGAAATCTACCGCTTTTCTACAAAAGTTGCGTCTTAAGTATTTTTGGTTCGCTTGGGTATCCATTTTTGAAGCCACTCTCATAAAATCTCGTTAGATGTTGTGTGATTTGACTCGGAAGCATACAAACGCTTTTTTAGTATCGATGTGTACATAGATTTCAAGCACGAATTTGACAACAACAACAGCACAAGATTTCCAGTGATTACATTGGTTACGATAAATTTAGTCAACATCATTGCCATGAAAAAGGAGATACAGCTTTTAAGAATTAGATAAAAACGTTTGACATCGTCTATAAAAGCACAGGAGTTCACAATGTTATCAATAAAGTCAATAGAAATCACTTGAATGACAAGCCATTTGGCACATCTCTACTTTCGTTTTCGATCATCGCGGGAAATCTGATTTATATACAGGTGACTCTCGATCTCTCGAAGTTCAAGGGACCGCAAGAAAAGTTCGAGAGATCGAGGGGTTCGAGAGATAGAAAGTAAATAAAATCCGGAATTTTCAGTTCCGATCATCGATGTTCTATTATTATAAATACCGGAAGTATATATGTAAATAAAGTTATTGCACGTTTTCAATCGTATTTTACAGGTAATATACTTGCTATTGACAGCAATGATCGTATTTCGAATAAATAAAACGAATTCCTAATGTTTCAATATTTATTTATTCTTATTTCATGATAACATGAAACCCGAATAGCAATTGTCGGTTTGGCTACTCGGCTGCTTGATCGGGTCCTTCACCAGTGTCCACCAGATTTTTCTTACTCGGTATTCAGTCCTTGAGAAAGGAATTTCTTCAATTTCTTGTGCAATATTTGATATACTGGGATTATGTAGACTCTAATAAAAGTTCATAGTCTATTGGAACTAACTGAAACGAACGTCGATGAATTTATTCTCTAAAAATTATCGTCTATGTTTCAAGTCAAAATGAGTTGTGAATTTGTTTATGATTTACCAATTATAACCAATTAATTATATCAACACACGGACGACCCATAGGTGTAGTGTCATCTATGTAAACACCCAATTAACACCTCCTTGCCAACCCCAAGCGTTCACTGTTTTTCCAGGTAAGTCCAGGCTCAATTTCACGCTTGATCGGCGTGTATACACGCGCAATCAAAACTTCGAGAGATAGAGAGTAAAATTCAATTAAATATGTGTAACGGGACCCAGGTTTTGGTTCGAGAGATAGAGAGCTTCGAGAGATAGAAGTTCGAGAGATCAGGAGTAAATTTGCTTAGTTATATAGAGGGGAAAAAAACGGGACCGTAGGTTTACTTCGAGAGATCGAGAACTTCGAGAGATCAGAGTTCGAGCCATCGAGAGTCACCTGTAACTAAAGATAGGAACTTGTTTTAGATCTAGTTTAAACCATGTCATTATTTGTTTTTTTAATAAGTGAATAAACATTAAATTCAGAATTATTGCTTCTAGGCTATATCAGCAAAGATCACTCTTCAAAAAGCTAAGTTAAACACCCAATCCAAGCAAAACTAGAGGTACTTTGAGCAATTAGCTCACTAAATGATACCCCCCGCCTCCCATATGAATATAATGGCAGTGTCCATGTCTTGCTCTGGAAAATCAAAAATATACGTCAGATCAAAAAGTAAAATAGGAGGTGCACAATGGGAATATATAATTAAGAATCTGTGAAAGTTTCATTAAATTTCCTTCAGTGGTATGAGAGGAGTTGCAGATAAGAGATGGGTACCCCAAAGCGTAACGGACGGACGGAAATACCGATTACTATATACCCTCCCACTTTTCAAGCGGGGGGTATAATGATGAGCATGAAAAATATTTGTACAATTTTTGTCAAACTTAAGGTGTTTCTGTCTTCTACTTTAAAGTGCAGTCGATATTTAAGATTAATTATTGTAGGTTTCATTTAAGGCTACATTCGCATGTATATTACATGAAATATATCGATAATCCAAGCGTAAAACAACGCGCATGCAATGCTACCGCTTTTGAGGTCTGAATCTCCCTATTTTTCATCACAATAGGTTAACATGTATTGTATTTTCATTTTGAGTATCATAAAGTGCTACAGCTGTATGATACATGTAAATATCTTAATATTTCCATTTCTTTTTGTTTCTCTGTGATATCTCTATGAAAGTTAGGTGAGTTAATTTCTTGATCATTCAACTGGAATGTAAATTTTGCCAAGTGGAAGGTTGGGAGCTAAGAAGTAATTTCATGAATATGCATGCAGATCTTGTGCATCTGTTTTTGTGTCTGACGTCAGTTAGTTGGAAACATGGGATAATTTATGCATAACAGGCTTCGCCTGTTCATGGCTGTTTCTGTAGAATCCTAATTATTAGTGAGGAATTAATAATCGCATAATTTCACAAGAAACATTAAATGTGAATTTAAGGTACTTTTATTCTCGCGATTTGACGTTGAAGAGCTATTTCGCAATAATTAGTACTCGTGAAAAATAAGGAATTTACAGTATGCAAATTATCCCTGGCTCTCAACTGTCCTAGATGCCCTGGCATGCCCAAGAAACTAAACTGTGATGCCTTGGTAATCAAAGATTTAGAATCCTACAGTGTATAGTTACCCTTGTGAAAAGAACTTCTCTTGAATACCGACATTTATAGCTGTTGGCCTTCACATGGAATTATTCAATTAGTCCCAAGACTTTCTTTTGAAAATCTTAAATCTTAGCTTTGACTTTTGGACATTTATTTGTTCTACAGGCATATTTCATGGAAAAAGACCTTCCTTTGGGTACCAGCAGATTGACCTTTATGACCTTGCAGTTAAACCTTCTTTTGTAAAACTTCAATTTGATCATAACTTTTAAATGCTTTTCCCCAGGACCTTTGTATTTCACTTGCATATACCATATGACAAGAACTCATTATGGATACTAACAATTTGTGACCTTTTGACCTTGGAGTTTGACCTACTTTTTGAAAGAACTTTGACTTCTCCATTATTTCTGAATGGTTTACCTTAGTACTGATGGTTATAAGGGAGGATTTCTTTTTTTATATAATAGAAAAACATTGTATATCACTATGTAAACAAATCTAAAATGAATTTTATATTGTTTTTAGTGACAAGTCAATCCAGCCAAATATAGGCAGAATATTGAAAATATGGGGAGAAAGAAGCATCTTTCCAAAGGGTTACTTAGACGAGCTGACAGAAATGTTAATGAAAGGTACATATATTCATGATTAATAAACTTTCTTATCATGATTTTTAACATGTTTAAAAGACAATATCATTCTGAAGTATTTCTTTAAATTAAGTATTTATGTATATAATATGCAAAAAAATATTAACATTTTAGAAAAAAAAAATTGTATATACAAAAATTTGTCAGTGGATTATTTATTACTCATAAATATCAACCTTTATGACTCATAGCCTTCATTTAGACCTTTTCCTACCTATTTATTACCAATGATTTTTTCGTAGATTCCCCAGCCCTGACTCCATTGGGAAATAATGCTGTCAGCCCTGCCACCCCAGCTGGATCCACCCCGGCTACTCCCACACAAGCATACAAACCAACAGCAAAAATAAAGGATGAGGAAAAGATACTGGCAGAATTCAAGGTTTGATGCACCCCTAAAATTTCTCCACACATTGCAATATTTATATTGGTATTCAAAATGCTATCTATTCAAATTGATTTGTTTTTCATTGCAAATTTTGATAATTTTCTTTAAGATGTATGTATGATGTAATTGAAGCAAGCTAACTGTTGTGCCTTACATTACAGCCCCAGATACTAATTGATAAGATCAACAGCTACAAAAGATTGGAGGGAGAAGTGGAACTCAAATTCAAACAGATCTCAAGTCTAAAGCTGGATGCCTCCAGTGTAGAGGCAGTCACACAACTCAAAGGTAGGTGCAGTCTCACAGCTCAGAAGTAGGCCCAGACATTTCATAATGTAAGGGCTCAAACGTTTGACATCAGGTACTCTACTTTCATTGTAGAAATTGTGTGTACATGAAATTGATGTTCATTAATTAGAGGATTCTGAAACTTGGTGTCTTAACAACTTGAATGACAAAATTTTAAAAAGTGAATTTTACTCTGGGCTATTCATATTTTGCTAACATTTCATATTTACAAATCTAAGGAGAATTCTATCTTATTGTAGCAGTTAAAAGATGATAAAATTTTTATAGAATGTGCTATTGCTGTATACAACTCTGAAGTACGTGTACTGATTTGAGTATTACAGATAGTTCAATACATGTGTTAAGATATTGCTTTAATGCAAAATAACATAGAGTGCTAAAAAGGATGCCTAAAAACACTCTTTGCATACATGTTTCTGTTCTCTGTAAACAGACCGAGCCCATGGGAAGCAGTTCAGTCAGCAGTTTGAGGACTCGTGTTCTAAGCTGGAGAATTACGTGTCCAGCGCCGAGCAGCAGATACAGGAACAGAAGGTGATGATCGAGCTTCTAGAACAGAGTCAGGTGTTTTACGATGAGCAGTACCGCGAGGCCAGGATTGTAGCTAATGTAAGGCTCGTTTTTTTTTTGTCTTTCATTACAGATTATTTTCATACCTGATATGTTTGTTTTATGGACAAGGTGATAATAACCAGCAAAACTGACAAACAGATAAGAGCTGGATTTACTCCAAAGTGTATGAAAGCATTACAGAAGATTGGTGTGCCAGATTTTCCATTGAAATATTGCATTCAATTAATTAGGGCCCCGCAAGGATTTGCGGGTGCCCTATAGTAATCACTCTGTCTGTCCGTCTGTCTGTCTGTCTGTCCGTCTGTCACTCTTCCGTCCACAAATTTTCTGTTTTTTTCTAATAACTTTTTTTATGGTTGCCCAATCAAGTTCAAATTTGGTATGGTAGTTCAGTAGGCAAAAATACATATTTTGATGCTAAGTTTAGTTCTCTATGTCTTCTGGTTTGGAGCTGGGGTGGTGGGGTAGATTCCTTAACTATGCATAAGAATGAATGGGCAACTTTTTTTATGGTTGCCCAATCAAGTACAAATTTGGTATGGTAGTTCAGTAGGCAGAAATACATATTTTGGAGCTAAGTTTGTTTCTCTATGTCACCCGGTTTAGAGCTGGGGTGGTGGGGTAGATTCCTTAACTTTATATAAGAATGCATTGGCAAAGAGAGATAACTGCTGAAGATGTTCCCATTGTAAACTGAATGCTGCTATGAGTCCCTTGGGATTAATTAGCTTTCCTCCTGAAGAAAATCCAGAGCATTATCTTCATCTGTCACATTGAGATGAATTACCACCTCTGTCTGCAAATGAAGTTTGTTTTGAAGTTAAGTCAATTTGGAATGCTATGAACACTCTGAAATGTGGATTTAAATATAAATTTTCATAATTTATTTTTGCTTAATAGTTATGATTTCATTGAATTCTAAAAACAAGAAATAGATTAAAGAAGATTTTTTGATTTACTTTTTTTTCACTTTATGTTAATTCAAGAATATTATTAATTTTTAAGGTAGTTGTATAAAAACCCCATTCTATCATTAATACTGAAAAAGTTCTTATTGTAACTTTAGAAGAAAATGATGAGAGAGGTACAATTAATCCCTTGGGATTAATTATCTAGCCTGCTGCAGAAAATTGAGTAGGCTTTTCTTTATCTGTCACTTTAAGATTAATGAAAACCTTTGTCTGCAACTGCTGTTTGTTCAAAGTTAAGGTCAAGCCTTCATGATATTTGCATTCATTGAAGGCTGGATTTTATATAAAACAAGCTTCATAATTGTTTAAATATACATTCAATGTTAAGTCGTTCTTTACTGCCTAATGTAAGTACAAGAATATTATTTTCAGATTTTTGAATGTTCAGGAATTATCTTGAAATTTTAAGAATACAGTTGCTGTTGCTTATTCTTCGTACATTTTTTAATCATTCCGTAGGCTGCACCCTTTTAATTTTACCCCATGGCGGGGCCCTTGCTTACTGGTCAGTTTTCTAGTTCAAGTAATAAAATTCTAGAAATAATGATCAACAGAAATGGTTCTATTACACTATTCTCATATTTAACTTTAATTTAATAGAAAGCACAATCTGATATACATATTTCCAGTACTGAGTCTTCTTTTATTCTACTGTAACATTAATGATTTTATTCTAGGCCTACAAGAACTTTGGGACGCGGATCAACAATCTGCGTAAGAAGTTGGAGGATCTGATGAAGTCCCTCCCCAGTCCCGTCCCCTCCCCCTCATATGACGCCCCGTCTCCAGGCAACACCCCTCCCTTGGAGGAAATTGACAACACAGAGGCGGTCGATATGGACCTAGACGACGATGATAATCCAGGGGCCAGCACTATTCTGGGTAAGTGTAGGGACATAGGATACTGAATTTCTTAAAATGGGCAAATGTCTTCTTTAGTGAATTTACTGTCATCACTCTAAAGAAATGTTTGATTTTTGAGTGGTTTAAAATAAACCGACATCTAAAAAGGGTTCTAAAAGCCTCAAAACTCTACATGTATATTCATTGTAACCATTGAGAAGAGCCTTTTTTTCATCTGTTTTATTTTTAACTGTTTTTCCCCAAATAAAATTCTCATACTTTAAATATACACATGTAAATTTTGCTCTGCTTTTGCTAGAGATTTGCAAAAAAACCTTAATTAAGGTTGCACAGTGTATTATATTTACTGACATTATTTTCCTTTTTCAGATATTGAAATTTAAGTTATGTCATAAGTGGGCCATTGATCCTTTTACTTTACTATAGATTTATTTCAGTGCACAACCGCTTTGCATTTGGTTGTAGCTATAAAGGGAAGTAACTCTTATAGGATTGTACAATAATGTGAATTACAAACAGTTTTTAATTATTCTACATACTTTTTTTTCCAGCTGCACAGCAGTCTACTAGCATCAGTAACAGTGTGGGTCCAGCTGAAAGTGAAGTGTATGATCCGGAGGAACAAATGCCCTCAAAACCTAAATATGTTGGTGAGTTGATATGAACTTAAAATTTTGGTATCATTGTTGCACTGTAGTGACTGAAAAAACATACAGTACTTATCTTTTTCTATCATTCCAGCTGGACCAAATGCACTAGAGTCGAGAATAGCCACAATGATACCATCACTCCCCACGGGCAGTGTCCAGCACACCCCGGCGGTCCAAACGGGCAGCATTCACCATAGTGTGGACCCGCGATCTCAACTGCCACCACTAGCAGACAACCCTCCTGTCTACATCCCCCCAAAACCTGCAGTCATCAAGGTGCTACAACAAGAGGGAGGTACCCCCACAAAAGACGAAGGCAGTTCAACCCCGGTCATGGACGAAAAGGAGGACTCTCCCCCTAGATCACATCAGAATCCTATTGATTTTCTCACTCAGATTCTGTCAAAAACTCCTAAAGCCTCCACTCCCAGTTCTAATTTTCTTCAAAATCTTTCTCTGCTCACAAACACAGTGAAATCCCAGTTTCAGCACAACAAAGATGTAAAACAACCCCAGGCACCTCTCCAACCCCCTGCGTCGGAGGCACCCAACTCTTGGGCAGAATGGAAGGCTCAGATGAAACCAGACGAGGTGCCACAGCCAGTGGCTCCAGCTTTGGGAGTGCTACAGGCCAATCCACCACCTCGTCTGCCACCACCAATGTTTTCACAAATGAATTCTATGTCATCAGCACCACAACCAATCTCTGCACCTGCCCCCACTATTGTTTCCCCTCCAATTATTTCTCCTCCTATGGGTGTGGTCAGACCACCCCCTCTTCAGGCCCCTCAGCCTAATTTCATTCCTCAGCAAGCATCCAGCCCAGAGGCTTGGAATCCTAGACCCCCAATTCCTCCACAGCCATTTCCCACTCAGCCTAATTTTTCTGGGGGAGGATTTCAGGTGGGTCAGGGGGACAGGGTTTCTCCAACATGGAATCCACCAAGTGCTCCAAATTCTGGCAGAACATCACCAGGATGGAACCCTCCCTCTGGACCCCAGAATCATTCCAGCCAAGTTTGGAATCAGCCAGGAGCTGGGCCTCCACCTGGAAACAATTGGAATCCCCCAGTCAACAAGACAGAGCAGAAATGGGGGAACCAGGGTGAGGGGGCGTGGAATCCGCCATGGGACCAGAAGAAAGAGGCTACCCCCACAGAAGATGAATCGTCTGCAAACGTGTCTTCACTCCCTCCACCACCCAAGGGAATTTTACGAAACAGGAAGTCTAGTCTTAAAGAGGTGCCAATAACGCCTAGTGAATCCCTAGAGGATAATTCTCTCCCGGTTCCCCCTGGGGAACCCCCTTCACCCACAGAAGGCAAGCCCAAACCAGCAGCTAAGGATAAAACTGCCAACAGTGCACCTGATGATCACAGAGAATTTTTGGAGAAACTTAAAAAGAAGACCACAGGGGGTGCAGGCAGTAATCTCGTATCTCCTCCGGTTATTGAGGAGAATGTTGATAAAGCCCCAGCCAAGTCTAACGTCTCTAATGTCCCAGTGACGGATTATTCAGAAAATAATAACTCTTTCCCTGGATCCAACACAGGGGAGCAAATGGAGGAAGAACAAGGCATATCTAAAATAGAGACTGTGAGAGTGGAGCGTCGCTACCAGGCCAAACACGACGACATTCGCTTGCCGGAGAAACCCTCAGTGCACAAAGACTATAGATACGAAGACAATTACGAGAGACATGATAATTATGAGAGACATGATAACTACGAGAGACATGATAACTATGAGAGACACGATAATGGTGGGTATAGAGATGACTATGGGCCTCCATTAAGGGGTGGTAGGGGTGGACCACAATACAGACACCCTGGTCCGTACAGAGGGGGGCGAGACTCCGGGTGGAGAGAGCCCCCTTACAGGGAGAGGCCCGGACCCCCACCCCCCAGACACTACTACGATCAATATAATGACCATAGAAGACCATACTATTACTGAAGTTAGAGTGTTTTCAATTCTGTTTATGTATATTGGTCAACTGGAAATATTAAGGGAGATAAATCTGAATTTGTTGTAATTTGAAAAAAAAATGTCTATGCATGAATATATGACATATAATGAGCAGCTCTGTAAAATTTTTAAAAGTCAGAATACAAGAATTGTATGCTGCTTTTATATTTGATTTATGTGTTTTTTTCATTGGTTCATAAATTCATCTTGTCATAATTTTCTTCATTTTACTTAGAAATTTTCAACTATGTTGAAAGCTGTTAATTAAAAATAGCTTTTATTTGAAAGGAAGTTTGTTGATTTTATTTCACTTTGATGGGAAAAAAATTGCATGATTTAAGTATTCTGTGATCATTGAAAATGTAATATCAGCGTGTTTTACTATTGCTTTTGAACAAATTTCCATTTTTTTACATCCTAAGATAAAAATATTTTTGATGTGGAGGGCCAGGAAAACTGTACAACACTTTATACTTAGTATTTATATTAAGACATTAGTGAAACTTATTAATGAAAGGTTTTTTTTTATCCTCGATGGAAACAGAGTGAGAACAATCTCAAACTAAAATATGTATGGTAAATAAAACAGATATCAAAAAGGTACTAGTACCTAGAAAGAGAAATATACTTTTGAATTCTTCTTAAAGAAACTTTGTTCAAGTGGGTGATGAAATTTAAGAAATTGAAAGCATGTCAATTGAAAAGTAGCTGAGGTTAAGCATTTTTTTTTTTTCAAAAAGCACTACAAGAAAACCACAATTCAAGTGAGAGGCCCACAGCCCACCTTTATTACATGTATTACCTAGGCTCTAGAATCTTTATAAATGTTTAAAAAAGATAATTTCCTGGTGAAATTTTTGACATTGTAGATCTATCTTGGCTTTAAGGAGTGGGAAGAACTTAACCAAGTTAAATTCCCAACATACATGTAGCCTTGCTATTCTACAGTTGTTTGAAAATTTTTCCTCGATACATGATTCTACAAGGGGTCATTATTTACACTATTTTTAGCTCTTTTAAGCTAAAGGCTCAAAGAGCTAATGCTATGGCCATTTGTGCGGTGTGCGTCGTTTGGTGTGCGTTAACTTTTTAGAATATGGGCCATAACTCAAGAACCCCTTGGCCAATCATTGTCAAATTTGTCACAGGGTATCCTTGGTCCAAGGGCTACCATTTGTACTAAAACTAGGGGTAGGACCCTCAAACAAGGGGAGATAATCAGGAAAATAAAACCAAAAGTACTGGTTGCTAAAAAATCTTCTTCTCCAGAACCACCAGGCAGATTTTCATCAAACTTACATACAAGGGTCAGGATATGTTGAAGATTAAAAATTGTTCAAGGCATGACCCTGGGGCAAAGGGCATGGTCTCAAGATCACTTCAAAGTTAACCAAAATTTACACTTGATAAAAACGTTTATATTTTGCTTACTATGAAGTCTAGGATCATCAAATTTTGTATGTTGATGCATCTTAGGACTTCACATCATGTCAACACAAAAGTAGGTCTGGTGACCTACTTTTTAAATTTTACGGGCTTTTGTTTTCAAATTGATTTGGAGACATATTTTTTACACTTTAAGGCCTATGATCATCAAACTTTGTCAGTTGATGCATCTTGGGTCCTCAAACAACGTCAACTTAAAAGTAGGTCACCGTGACCTGCTTTTTGAATTTTATGGCTAATCTTTTCTTAAACATTTAATCCCATTAATTCAGACACTGAGAGGTTTAGAATCACCAAATCTTGTAAGTTGATGCATCTTGGGAGCTTTAAACATATTTATGAAAAAGTAGGTCACTGTGACCTACTTTTTGAATTTTGTGGGCATTTGTTTTCAAATTGTTTAAAAGGCATATTTTTAATACTTTCAGACCTATGATCATCAAACTTTGTCAGTTGATGCATTTTCAGTCTTTGGGAAAAATTTCAACAAAAAGTAGGTCATGGTGACCTACTTTTGACATTTTATGGCTATATTTAAATATCTTAGGTACTTATTGGCTCAGAATCATCAAACTTTGTCAGTTGATGCATCTTGGGTCTTCAGAAAAAGTCACGGTGACCTACTTTTGACATTTTATGGCTATATTTAAGTATCTTAGGTACTTATTGGTCTAGAATCATCAAACTTTGTCAGTTGATGCATCTTGGGTCTTCAGAAAAAGTCACGGTGACCTACTTTTGACATTTTATGGCTATATTTAAGTATCTTAGGTACTTATTGGTCTAGAATCATCAAACTTTGTCAGTTGATGCATCTTGGGTTTTCAGAGAATGTCAACCAAAAAGTAGGTCACTGTGACCTAGTTTTGTATTTTTATGACTATATTTAAGTATCCCGGGTACTTATTGGCCTGGAATTGTAAAACTTTGTCAGCTGAGGCATCTTGGGTTTTCGGAGAATGTTGACCAAAAAGTAGGTCAGGATGACCTACTTTTAATTATCTCAGGTATTTTATGAATCATCAAACTTTGTCAGTTGATGCATCTTGAGTCCTCAGAAAATTTCTAATCAAAAAGTAGGTCATCGTGACCTTCTTATGGTATTTTATAGCTATACTGAAATATCTTTTGTTCTAACTGGCTAAGAATCATCAAACTTTGTTAATTCCTGCATCATGAGATACTTGGAGTTGGAGGCTTCAATTAGAAGTGATAGATTGTACAATTTATCAGAAGAGCGATTCAAGGCCCTTGGGCCTCTTGTTTTTATTGCTCTGCTGTCCTCGCGATCGAGAACAATCTTGTATGTCAATTGAAAAATGGCCAACACCTAGTGCGACTTTGACCTCATTTTATATGGTCTCATTCAAATGACCTGTTTTCTTTGAGTTAAAAATTCGATGACAAATTCTTGGCAAAAAATTATATATTTTTGAGGAACGTGTCGGCTGACCTTAAACTAGAATACTCTAAACCTATGTCCATTAAAAACAAATTATTGAATATATCCACAAAAAATAAAATAAAAGGCACCAAATTACGTAGGTGATAACAGCTGTGTGTCAGGTGATTTGTATCGGGTACTTTAAATAATATAAACAATTCTTTTAATAATTATATTTCATCTATCTAAAAATTGTCATAATAATACAGCTTCTGTATACTATGCGCTGTAAGGATCAAAGTTAATTTGAAGATCGCTGCATATGGGTGTGGTACGTCTTTTTTAAATTGTGTTTTTTCTTGACTGAAAGTGTCAGAATCTTTTATTTTAACAACTTCCAAGTGTATTTAATGAAGATTTAATTTTTTAAATTAATTTATTTTAAATTAAACAATCTGGAAGAGATGCAAGCCCCTGGTATACACAGGGACTAAAAAGCAAAAGTCCATCAAGTTCTAGCATCCAATGATGGACCTAGATGCAGTTGATTGACAGGGGTACCCTGACTAGGTATTCTTGAAGGCTCAAATCTCTGTCTTTAATGAATGAGAAGATACCATTACAGTTAGCACAATACATGTACAAATTATGAGCTACAAAAGGGGTAGGGTCATGGAGGAAAGTGTATCCCATGTTGACCGGTTTACAACTCCGTGTGTGGTCGGGTACACTAAAACTCCACAGACAATTTAGTGAAGGAAAAAATAATGGCCTAACAAATTATATTAAAGACGTTAACTAGTTAGGCTTGAGTTGTGACTGCAGGTTAAAATGTCAAACGCACAACTAAGAAGAACTATGATAAATAGACCGACTTCAGTTTTTTCTTCCATCAGTTTCTCTATTCATGTGGTAATATTTCATTATCACCTGCATTTTGGTGTTTTTATTTCCCAATCAGATTCGGTACTAAATGTATAATTACATTTTTCTTTTACTTTAGTAACTGAAACATGATTCAGGCATGCAAATCCTTGAATGTTTAAATTAAGTTAGCATTTCGCAAATTCTGATCTTGGTTTGAAACCATCAATGGGTCGTAATATGACAGACATGTTTCACAATAATTGTTATGGTTTTGTTTTTATAGTGAAATTACGGTTTATTTTGTTTTACTTATCAATTCAGACGGACATTGGCAATTTCAATAGAACAAAGGAGTATTTTCTCTCATTCAGCGCACCTGATCCCATCTCTGAGTTTTCCCTTAGATCTGTGACTTTGCCCTGTTTCAGACTTTGTGAAATATACAAAACAGATGAACAATTATTAAACTCAAACGGAAAAGGAAGTTAATTTCGTCAAGGGGCTTAAAATTCTTTTAAAGGTCTCCCTTTCCTTCCAATAGTCTCCCTTTCCTTCCAATAATACTATAGTAGAAGCTGGTTGTATTCGAACTTTTTAAAATGAATATTGATAAAGTTGGTTACTCAGTTAATTTTATTTTAATAAAGAAATCAATCATCTACTAGACTAAAGTATTTTTCTATCTGCACAACAGAACATACTCGTCTGATATCTTTGATACTAGTATTCAGTTAGTAATAACAGATAATATCTTTCTCTTCACGACTTGCACTTGTCTTATTTAGATAAGAAATTTAAGCTTTCCTTATTGCTTTTGTTAGTCCAAAAGTAAGATACAGGTAAGTGGTTTTATTAAAGTTGTCATTTTTCCTTTTTTCATAGAACACTTTCTAATTTTTGAGCCATTTAAAAAAATATTCTCCCCTTTTCCCATTTTCTTGAATTCTATAATTAGATATCATAAAACTTTTGAAAAATTTTGCTACTTTTGCGTTTTTATGTGTTTTTATTTGAAAAAAAACTGCATTGCAAAGTGACTTGTTAGGATTATTATTTGTGATATATGGATTAAATAATTTCATTAATTTTCTTTCCAATGGAACCCCCCCCCCCCCCAACACACGCAAAAACAAAAAATCAAAAGTGTGTAAAACAGAAATAGAATACATGTACTTAAATTATATAGTGAAAATAAATCTCTGGTTTGAGGGAAAAGTATATTCACAGTTTGGGTTGAAAAACTGTCACTGAAAATTTTTCATATTTCTTATCAAAGTATTTGACTAAAAGTCTTTAAGTTAAATCCATGTCAATTTATCCTGGCATTAGCCTTACTTTGACCCCTTATGATAATAATTTACCTGAAACAAAACCCATTACTGTCATCTTTGTTTCGTGGAGACAGAGGATAAAAAAGAGGTGTATTTTTTTTGGTCAAACTTTCCAGGTTACTCTATATAAGGGGAAAGTGGACACATGAGCATGCATGAGAGGAGAATAAACAGATACTTGTACTTAGTACATATTGTATTTATATACTGGAGCTGAAACGCAGACCAGGTAAAAGGTAGGTCAACATTTTAAGTAAGTTCATTTTACTGTTGGAATATCATCTAATCTATACAAACAAATAGATAAATATATACATCCAAATTTTTTTTTTATTTGTCATTACAAAAATTGAAAAATCTTTATTAATTTCCGTAAAACAATTGCACTAATTTATCAAGGATGGAAAATTTGACCCCTTTCTACCCCTAAGCCTCAATCATATATAATAAGTTTTGTTATTTATAAATATTTTAAAAATATTTTTTCTTCTAACTTTTGCATGATTAAAACGCTCTGGAAAATTTATTCTTAATGCTAGTTTGAAGCAAAACTAGCACGATTTGATGCGGACCTTTAACAGGCGTTCTTAAGAATACAGATGAAACAAAACAAATTATGATTCAACGCATGACAAAGGTAGAAAATATCTGGTCCAAAGTGTTGCACATCTTTGAATACTAGTATTAGATTGATCGTGACATCGAAAAAGTTCTCATTACTTTTGACACATACTGCTGACACATGCTGATACTGTATAATAAGTCATTTTTTCCGCGGTATCTTTACTACAAATTAAATACATGTAATCACATCTATTTAAATTGCCAGTCATTTAAAAACTACATTTCTACAGATTTTCCTGTTTGCCTGGTCTTGATAAGGCGCACATGGGGAGTTTGATCGGTAGACAAGGGACACTTTCTCCTCTATGGCACCTGATCCTTCTCTAATGTTTTTGGAGGTCCATGTCTGCTCTACTCCCGATTCATATTGCTGTAAGACTTTTGTGCGTGAATTCTAATCGTGATCTCCTTATCTCATTTGGTTTTTTGAGACCAGGTTTTCCAATAATCTGCTTGAATTCACATGGGTCCCAACTGCGCTCCGTTATTAGCAGACCTATTAATCAGATTGTATTTCAAAATCTTACAAATGAGAAAAAGAAATTAAACACTTGCTGTGACCTTCAACTGGACATTTTGTTATATCTACAACGTATCATCAATTAAAATAATTATTTCCATACATATATGTCGACACGATATGTCCGAGTGAGCTTGAAATTAAGATACCACAGAGTCTGACAAATCTGTTTCATACTTTTATATTTTACTGTAAAAAGAAAACGTTAATTTTAACCTACAATGTAATAATGTTAACAAATCTTTATGATAAACATGATGACTTTAAATTTTCAGTCGTCCCTTACCTATCACCCGCATACGGGGTTGACATCTTTTTAGCTCACCTGAGCCGAAGGCTCAAGTGAGCTTTTCTGATCAAAATTTGTCAGTTGTCTGTCGTTGTCGTTGTCATAAACTTTTCACATTTTCATCTTCTTCCCAAGAACCACTGGGCCAATTTCAACCAAACTTGCTATAAAGTATCCTTGGGTAAAGGGGATTCAAGTTTGTTCAAATGAAGGGCCACGCCCTTTTCCAAGGGGAGATAATTATGAATTAGAGAAAAATTAATGGCATTTTTACAAAATCTTCTTCTCCAGAACCACTAGGCCAGGAAAGATGAAACTCATGTGAAATCATCCTCAGGTAGTGTAGATTCAAGTTTGATCAAATCATGACCCCCGGGGCTAGGGTGGGGCCAAAATGGCCGACCCAAGTTTTACATAGGAATATATAGGGATACCTTTTAAAATCTTCTTTTCAAGTACTTCAAAGCCATGATTAGTGATGTTTATATGGAATCATCCTCAGGTAGTGTAGATTCTAGTTTGTTCAAATCATGAATCCCTGGGGGGGGGGGGGTTAAAATTCAAGCCCCCCTCCCACCTCAATAAAATTACAGTTCTGATCTGATATGTGCTTTTTCCTAGCTCAGGTGAGTGCTGTGGCCCCTGGGCCTCTTGTTTGATTCTATAGGCAAATGCATGCACTACGAATAACAATTTTTAAAAGAGGGTAAGTTGTAAAAGTTTATGAAACAAGAATATCAGTAGTCTCGTTTACAGCTATCATTCTGCAAGTTCTATGATCGTTACAATTGCCTGACGTCAGTAATTACAATTTATCATTAACTCAAATGCTGACTGACGTTTTTCATATGAATTATTTGGATATTATATACACAATACATCAATTATCAACGGATTTTTTCGTTATGAACCGATCATGACAGAGAGCACACGGCGGGTATGACTGGTCGGCAGGAGAAGCTCACTCCTCCTTGGCACATGATCCCACTTTCCTGGATGATTAAGAGACCAGTGTTTGCTCTGCTGAATTTGCATTGCATCGACATAGAACTTACGAAATGATGACTTTAAACGGACTGCTGATATTTTTGTTTCATCAACTTGTTTGTTAATAATTTACCTTTTTTCAGAAATTGCTCGTACGTAGAACATGCTCAAGATTGCGTATCGAATCAACTAAGAGACATAAACCCCGTATGCTTATAACTTTTGAGTGTTTTGAGGTATGGCTTCCATATTTTCACAGGTGTTTTCTTTGTGAAAAGAATTTTTTTTGGTAACTACCAAATTCGATTTCTTGACCTTGATATTTGACTCACTTTTACAAAAATCCTTGGCCATACCATTTGAATAGTAAATGCTACGTCTTGACCTTGGACTTTGATTTGCATTTAAAAAATTAAACCCTCACCATAAGCTGCCATGCGGGGGCATCAGTGTTTTAACTTGTTTGTTTTTTTTAACAGTTGTTTGCCTTGATTTAAATTCTATCAAAATCTTATAAGGCTATTATGGAACAAAGTGTGGACGTGGACGAGATCTGGCGAGCCTTACGGCCCTGGGGTCGCTATCAGGTCAGACAACTGTGTTTTATGTGGGCTGCTATGATTCCCTGCTCCTTCCATCTTCTTTCGATTGTTTTCATAGGTGAGTAATTACAAAATTGAATGATGATGAACAACATGCAGTTTTCCTTGCCTTGGATGTTCATGTTCCAAAAGAACACATTTTAATTCATTCTCTAAATATACAGTCACTGGAATTTTTTTTGTCAATTGTATAAGTAGCCACCGTATATATAAAATGAGCAACTCGATCAATTGTATATGTATAACTTAGACCTGTACATGTATAAAATGCTTTTGTTCTGAGACACGACTAAAGTACTTTACCCTAAAAAGCCATCGCGGTCCCATAAACCCATGGCATTTGACCCAGACTGCGAATTTTAGAGTTTGCACACAAAAACCGATTATTTTTTATCCCGTAGTTAGTGTTTTGCAGAGCAAGCTCATTCATAACTTCCTTTGTTCAAATGACATATAGAAGGAATTGATGATCATGAGGTTAGCATTATATGTTCTTATTGCGATAGTGAACTGTATAATACAAACCAATCAGTTCTGTTGGAATTGTGCTTATAATATGGCAAACTGGGACTATTTCAGTCTTTTTTAGATGAGTAACTCAATAACGTCATATGAACATGTTGTTTAATTCCCACGGTGAACATAAATAATCTATTATTAAATAATTTAATTGATTAAATACGAAAATAGATAAATCATTTTAGATTTTTGTAATTTTTTTTTTCAGGATATCGACCAGATTTCCGGTGTGCCACTACATCACCTCCAGATAATAAAACTTGGAACGCCTCGGCATTTTACGCAACATATGATAAATGTTCAGTGACGTTGTCCTCAAACCTGACAAATTCTTCAAGTACGACGTCTTCTTGTCCCAATGGTTACAGCTATAATGAATACAATGACATATCGTTTGTAACTGGGCAAGGATCAGCTATTTGTAAATAATAACGGCCGTCACAGTTAAAAAAATTGTGTCAATATTTTTACATTTTTTCTAATTAAATACATTTATATCTATACCTTCTTTCATTAATTTAATAAGAAAAGATAGTTGCATTTTTATTTTTTAAGAAAATCGCATCCAAATATAGGTGATCAAAAAGTGATGGGCGTTATGTTGACACATGTAATGTGAATTTTTAAGTTATTTCGCGTTACAGAGAACCAAAAAAAAGACCATCATATGCATGGACCTGACCACACTTTTACTTGGGACGAAGTAGACAAATTTCTATGACCTATCTGTAAAATTAATAAGGCACAATTAATCGTGACGGAGGTGACATCAATTTTTCCTACTATAGCATTTTCATCATTCGTTTTTCTGCACAGAAGTCATGTTTACCGTGAGTTTTTTCTTCACTAAATGAGGAAATAACACTAGTTTTTCATTAAAAAGCAGAACAGAATACATTAGTTCTTTCTTGAAGAATTTTTTATCCTGTTTAATAAACGGATGTTATATTTGACAAATTGACAAACTAAAGTAAGGTAGTTACGGAGGTTACATTGCCGACGCTTTTTAACGCATTTCGTAAGTTTTGTTAAGAATACACACGACTTTTAATACATGCAATGAAGTTAATTTGTCAAATACAACTCCATTTAAACATTCGTCTAATACTAATTAAAACTTCTGAAAGTATTTCCATGAATTTTAAGCGCTGTGACGGATGTTACATTATAATATCCCTCACAGTTTTTCGTGGAAGGGATATTTTAACTCTCTACAGCTTTGTAATTTTTCTTTAGTAATTTTATTATTTGTTCTTCATTAATATACAACTGAAGTTTACTAATAAAATTTTATCTTTAACAAAATAATAAGAAAAAAATCTTGTATCAGCACAGATTTAAATTTTGACAATGGTCAAATAATAACAGACAATCAGCCAAGGAAATCCTAAGGAGCTGGTAGCATAGCATCTGAAAAGAAAATAAATGAGTTAAACCTCTGCTAATTACCTTAAAAAACAAAACTCCAAATTTCATGATAATATTATCATACTGCGTAAAGAAGTTATTATTTGACCAGAAAAGGTGTCAACATGTCATATCCGTTTTTCAATTTCTTGTCAACATGTAACAGCCAAATATTGTTATGTTAATAATGTACGAAGACAGGAAAAAATTCGACTTTAACAGATAAGTAATGGTAAATATTATATTTTCTTTCTATCTTATTGAAAAAAATATGTCCATAAAATTTCTACGTAACATAATCGAATCACTGTGCTTCAGCAGTTATGGTTTGACATTGTTATGTCAGTCAAAATTTAACTGCCGAACACCAAATGACCTCTATGATCGTAATAGTTCTAGAAAAATACTTAAACGTTTGTGTCAAACAAAAACTATTATAGATTTTAACACATTGGAGAACATAGCTTGTCCATTTTATCATTAAATTTTATATGAATCTAATTCAGTAATTAGCGTGACGTCTGTTATCTAGTAAGAAGTTATTGACCGACAATACAAACTCGCCCACTTTGCCTCCATTTTACGTATCACGGTCGCTTTTCATGACGTTTACTGCAAATGTGTGGTAAAACTAATAGAAAAAACTGAACTGATTCTATATTCCGCATTGTTAAAGCCATTTTACGACCCAAATTACGGACGTTACGAATTTGACCGACACCTGTGCACCTTTGATAAATGTGCGAAAATTTATTATTTTAATCCTTTTACACAAACGTTATTGAAAAGAATCCGTTGAGTATGCTTTAAAGTTAAAGCTAAATATGAAATATTCGTGTATTTTTAATACAATTACATTAATTTCAACGTTTAAAGTTAACCCATCATGTTGACCGACACTCGTAACGTCCGTTATTCAATTTCAAAGCTATTTTTCTCGGGAAAATGATAAGCAAATAGTAATTATTTTTATCTAGAATTGTAAGGTAAACATCCATCTTTTAGAATAGTTGTATATAAAAATGTGTTAATTAAAGGTATTTCTAAAAATTGCATTTTTGACACATAGGTTGGAAAATCTCTTATAAGCATGCGCAAAAGTTGGACAATTTTATACAAATTCGGTAATAATAATTTTATTTCTTAAAATAAAAAGGTTTAATTGTTTATTGTTTCTCTTTCATATTACAAAATTATAAATACAACTTTATGAATCATAAAAAAATTATATTCTTGTTTATTTCAATTTCAAAAGTGACGGCCGTTATTATTTACAAATAGCTGATCCTTGCCCAACTGAGGTTAACTTCCTTAATTAAAAAATCTCTGAATATTAATAAAAAAATATTCTATTTTCAGAAACGTATGACTTTTTTTTCTAACAAACGTGATAATTTACCAAATTTTCAAATTTCCTTGAAAATGACCGTTTGTCAGAAAAATGTTTTTTTTTCCTAGTGGGATCTAGTTTGTGATGAGTCAACAAAGTTGGACATCTCGCAGGCCCTTTTGCTCCTAGGACAAGGTTTTGGCGGGCTTCTGTGCACTGGCCTCTCTGATAAATTCGGTAGAAAACGGGTCCACATCATATCCCATATATCGCTCCTCCTTCTGTGCATTGCTACAGCTGTTATTCCATCGTATACAGCACTTGCCGTTCTCAGATTCCTCACAGGCGCCGCCATTGAGGTATTTAGTGTAAATCTAGAAGGAAGATTTAAAAAAAAAAAAAAAAGAAATGAAAATAAACTTTTGAATGAATAAAATTTGCTTTCTGTAAAGCCATGTAAAAGAAAATCAAATATTCATTAGCACAACATATACACACATAATTCCCCAAAAGTTTTTTTTTTTATCGAGACATAGGAAATATAATAATGTCACAATTTCACAATATGTTCTCCCTGCCATTCATTTCGTCACATTTTTTAAAAAATATTTTCATACATTTATTACATTTTTATTATCTTTGCATATCCAGGGCCTGTTGTTATCAAGCGTGACGCAGTATGTAGAGACACTTCCGGAGGAGTGGCGATTCTGCGCAGAAGTGATGGGGTTGGTCTGGTGGACCACTGGAATCGTTCTGTTAACGCCTTTGGCTTACCTTATGTATGGGTTTTCTTGGAGATACCTACAGCTTCTGCTGGCCTTACTTTCTCTCTACAGCCTCGTAGAATATTGGTAATTTTGTTAAATTTTACTTTAGCCACATATATGAGAATACAAGTATTTGCTCAAATTAAACAAACGTGTCTACAAATTACATAACCTGCTCAAGCACAAATTTTCTATGGGAATCGGATTTGAGTGCGAAAAAAGAATAAGAAAAAATCCTGTGGAATCAATGCGTACAAATCCATGTTGTACAAAAATTTAGAAATAAAGCACTATTTACACTTCTTTCTCGGTTACATGTATCCAGTGCTATTAAATGTTTTAAAGATTTTTTTTTTTTTTACAGTTTGCCATTCTATGAAATATTTAATAATGATGTATCTGTACACATGACTTTCGAATATATTTTGCAGGCTTTTTGATGAATCTCTAAGATGGCTAATGGCAAATGGTCATTTGGAAGAAGCAGAAAAAGTAGTACGAAAGGCTGCTAAAATGAACAAAAAGAATTTTGACAAAGTCATTAGTGAAGCCAAAGCAAAAACAATAGAATTAGAAAATCTGAGTGGCAGCAAAAAGGAAATAGAAAAGGTATCGGCGGACCCAGAAGTTCTTATTGAAACTTACAATCCAAGAAATACAGAGGTGAAGAAATATGGCATGTTTGCTATTCTTAAAGACCGAGTGATTCTCATCAATTCTGCCATTATTTGGCTTACTTGGTAAGATTTTTAAAAATCATTAATTTAATTTAAAACAAATTAAGCTAATATTTATTGAATTCAATAAAAAAAAATCTATATTAAAACCTAAATATAAATTTTTTTTTAAAAAATCTTGTTTAAGTGAAGGATATGGAGATAAAGAACAATATTCAATATCAAAGTCGATAAAACAATACAAAATAGGAGCAGAGAAAACACGGACCTCCGATACATCAGAGGTTGGATCAGGTGCCATGGAGGAGTGAGCATCCCCTGCTGACCGGTCACACCCGCCGTATGCTCCTTGTCTTGATCGTGAAATAACGGAAAAATCCGTCGTCAATTCAGTGTATAAATAATTGACGAACAGTTAGTATGAAAAACGTCAGTCAGCATTTGACTCAATGAAAAATTATAAATTGTATTTGCTGACAATGTCATTGTATCGACCATAGAACTTACGAAATGATGACTTTAAACGGGATTGCTGATATTCTTGTTTCATCAACTTGCTTGTCAATAATATACCTCGTTTTAGAAATTGTTCATACGAAGAGCATTCTCTTGCATATCGAATCAACTGAGATATATACACACTGTATGCAGGTGATGAAGGTATATTGCTGCATAAGTAAGGGAAGTTGACGATAGAAAAGTTAAAGTCGTCACGTTTATCATATAGCTTGGTTGTTAGGTTACCATTAACGTCTTTTTCGAGTAAAATATCTAAGTATGAAACAGATGTGTCAGACTCTGTGGTATCTTTTATCTCAAGCTCTCTTGGTTATATCGTATCGACGTAGGAATGGAAATTACCATTGTTAATAGAAAATACGTCGTCGATATATATGGCACGCAAAATTCACAAAAATGAGATAAACCTAGTTTCACAATTGATAAACTAGGTTTATCGACTGTAAACTATAGTTTACAAACCGTAAACTATAGTTAACGATTCGTTAAGTATAGTTTTCATTTGTAAAACTATATTTAACGGTTGTTAACAATAGTTTACGAATGCTAATCTAAGTTTATCTGTCTGTAATAAAACGTTAACAATAGATTTTGCTGATAATCATAGATTCACGTCTGTAAACTATAATTTACGATTGTTAGCTATAGTTAAGAGTTGTAAACCATAGTTTACAATCGTGAAACTTTATTTATCAGATAATCTATGATTTGCAATCGCAAATGATTGTTTTTTGGTGTTAAGTATAGTTTACGGTTGTGAAACATAGATTATCGCGTTAACTATAGTTTACAGATGTAAAATATAGATTAACGTTGTTAACTATAGTTTACAGTCCGTAAACTATAGTTTACAATCGATAAACCTAGTTTATCGACTGTGAAACTATGTTTTGCTCATTTTTATGAATTTTGCGTGCCATAGATATATCTGAAAGTCTCGTTGAAGGCCACAGCAAGTGTTTTCTTCTTTTAACGCATAAGATTTTGCACAAATTCTGCTTCATATGAATACAAATTTAAAATAGAGCTGCCAATAATGGAGTGCAATTGGTACCCATGGGAATTCCAATAGATTGTTGGAAGACCTGGTCTCCAAAAACCACATAGATATTGTCAATCAGAATCTCGAGCATCTTCTTGATGTCAACTTCAGAGTACTTGTGTGTCAGAATCTGTTTTAACAAAATAATTTTGTAAATGACCAATGACCAGGTAAGTAAATTTACGAGGTCCATTTTTATTGAAAAAGCAGCTGTCAATGATATCAAAAAGCCTGGATTTTAATTTATCGTGGGGAATGGTTGTGTATAAAGTGAACATTTCAATATTTCAACGAAATGTAACACTGAATTGCCCTTTTAGTTCTCATGAGCCAAAAACTCATGCAAGCTTCTCTGGTCACCCTTCTCCTGCATATGTCTGCTTGTATGTATGCTGTCCTTCAACATTTTTTTAGAATTTTGATTTGGACTATATTTCAATCAAACTTTCCACAGAGTTTTTTGAAGGGAATTAAGTTTTGTTTATAAAAGGGCAAAAACTCTTATATCTTACCAGGTTGACGAATATCTTGACTTACTACGGATTGAATCTTATATCAACCACTCTATACGGAAACCGCTTTGTCATTTTCTTCTTTCTTGGGGCCATAGAATATCTGTCGGCTTTGGCCGAATTTATTCTTTTAAACAGGTAAGAACATTGCACAGTACAAATCGTTGTAATTATGAGAAAGGATGCTTCAAAAAATAATAATTTAATGCTTGCATTATGTTCGTACTTGTTTTATCGTTGATTCCAACGTCGAAATGTTTATTTCAGCATAAACATCCATGATATTCATGTATGCCTCAATATTTTGCTACTGAATGGGTATATATTTTTTTCAAACAACAGAATTGGTCGCAGAAGAACACTCTTTCTTCTTCTCGCGACATCCGGGGTTTCTCTTCTGGTAGCTACACTGCTATCGATGTTCAGAGGTTAGTATGAATTTCGTGCCATGTCGTTCGCATAGATAAATCATTACATTCTTTGCCTGCGGCATGCAACTATTCTAAATTTAAGCTGAAATTTTCTATGCGTGGCGCAGTGGTTAGAACGTTTGCTCTAGATTTGTGACGTAAGGAGTTGACCCTTACGTCGCGGGTTTAAATCCATTGTGCGAAATGAAGACTGGTCCTTCAGATGAGACTGCATTTACCAAAATTCCGTGCTGCAATAGGACCTGGCAAAAAATTAGATTCCTTGATGCTCAAAGGTCATAAGTGCCGACTATAGGACTAAATTTGCAGACCTCTTCGCACAAATGGTATGGTCTCAATATGAGTGAAAAATTCTCAAAGGGCATAAACAAACGAACAAACACTTCCAGTTGCCGACTTCTATCCTTCGAGTTAACTTATTTTATAAATTCTGTATACTCAAAGGAAAAACTGTTTCTGTCGCGTTTATTATACAGTTAATTCATAGATATGTATACTAGACAATTTTTGAAGAGATGCTTAAACAAGTAAACAAACGAACCAAGTACCGTAATGGATTCCTCAATAAGATGCTTAATATATTAATTTATTGTTTTATGATATATGGTATTGTTACTTTGGTTATTCATTGATACGCTTTTATTTATATTTCTGGGTACATTTATAAAATTAAATCTTAGATACTGTAGATACCTAATTATTAGCGAGGTATTAATTATCGCGTAATTTCACGAGAAGCATTAAACGCGAAATTGAGTTACTCGCTTTTATTTTTATCGTGCTAAATTCCATGTAAATTCTCCTGATCAATCGTTTATTCGCGAATAATTATTCTCGCGATTTGACTTTGAAGAGGCCTTTCGCTAAATTAAGTACTCGCGAAAAATAAGGAATCTACAGTATCATAAAATGCAGTTTTCTCTTTTGTTTTGACGATTGCTTTATTTCCAGGTGATAGTGAAGCATTAGGTCACCTGTCCACATTTTTGGTTTTGGTAGGAAAGTTTGGTATAACAGGCTCGTTTAGTTCCACATTCTTATATACATCCGAAATATATCCCACTAATCTAAGGTAGCTTGTATTTCAATTTATTGTCAGAATTAAAAAAAAACAACTATAATATTAATATGGATCATAAACATTATTTTAGTCCTGGATTTTCAGTTTTGTATAATAAATGTCAAATGGACTCAACAGTCGTTTTCGTGAAACGGCGAGGAAAGTAAAGAAATGTAATTGATAATGCACACCGGTCTACAAGAACTTAATTAAATTAAATGCATCTTTACAGAAATGCTGGATATGGTTACGCGTCCATTTTTGCCAGAATCGGTGGAATATTAGCGCCATTTTCTGTGTCTTTAGTAAGTACATGCATTTATACACCGGACGAGACAATCGACAAACAGTTTTCTTCGAGTATTCAAACTAACTTATAAAAACATTGGATAAAAGAAATTCGCTGATTCATTAGTAATAATTTGAATTAAACCGTCGTCTTTGCCTTTCTTCAAATTATTACTACTCTGCTCTTTTTTTGCAAAATATCGAATTGTAGTAAATGGGTATCTATTACAATACCAAACAAATTTGGACAAATTACCCGTGCTTATAAATTGGAATACATGTATATTACTTAGAAAGAAATTTATGTACATAATGAAATAATGCAGATAAAAGCATGACCCCAAAAAATATGGCAAAAAAAGTGGATCAACCCTTTTCTCTATATATTTGGAATGAAAGATCATTATCATCTAGAGTGTATGAAATACTAGCAAACAATTCATAAATGAACAAAATTGCTGGAAGATTGATAGAGATAGATAACTCTGTTGTCTTTATTTAAAATAGCGCAGGTATGGGCCTGCGTATGATTATGCAGGACTACTTGGATGCAATACGAAAAAATCATACAAGACAGTATATTTTTCAAGTTCAAGTTCAATTATTCTTCCAAACCAAAATATTGGTACATGGGGTTCCAATACATGTATATGGATTTGTTCTGCGGAAGTATTTTGTAAATACTCAGTATTCCAAAAAATGTTCATGAATACATTAAGGGCTGTATTTTCTTTATGTGTCTTGCACATGCAACTCTGTAAAGAGAAAAATTTGAATCTTTGTTTAATTATTAAAGTAAACACTTTAGCAAATAATGCAGTAAATTATAGCATAATATTGTATTAATCTAATTTGATATACTTACGAGTTTATGATTCAAATACACAATTCAAACTTTCTTATCAGTTTAATCAAACACTTGAGTTTACTGTATTGTAGCACTCCTACGTGGCGTGGGGTCCTGGTGTGGTATTCAGTGTTATGTGCTTCCTCTCCGCCATTTTGATTCTCATGCTACCGGAAACACGTGGACGTGAACTTCCTACGACAATAGAGGAACTAAAAACATGGTACAAGGCTAATAGCGGAATACGTAGATGTGGTACAACGTCCAGCGAAAGCCTATGAGAAATCAAATGGAAATCAGTGGTTTATTTGTACATTGAATACTCACCCATTCTCAATATAAGGGCTCAAATAATGTCGCCTCATTTTCATTTAAAAGAAATACCACTGATGTAATTTTTAAATCAACATTATAAATAGTCATATAACAATAAATAAGAATTCATATAATTATCGATCTGAAAAGGTATTTAAGGAGTTCCAAATTCAAATATAGTAGCCTATTTGAAATGTACGTTACTGTCGCCGAGGCAAATATTATTCTGAATCCCCTCTGTGTAATATATAGTTTTGATTCTCAAGTAAAAATTTTCTGATAAGTTAAACCTTGTATCATATATATTTCTTTTCATAACAATAAATACATTTTCTTTGTGATAATAAATAATTTTTATTGTTCAATGTCCCTGTCGCTTAATTCTATTTCAACCAAATTACAAGCAAACACAAAGATTATACACTTGATAGTTTTGTTCTCCTTTATTTATTGATGGGCTAAATTTGAAATTTCAAAGGATTAATTACTCCTACTTAGATAATGTAACATGAAAATGAACAATTTGAGCAACTTTTATAAATATGTTTACGGAATGAAAGACATTTTCAATCGTAGAGATAAGAAAGAAATGTACGTTACCTATATTCTTCCATTAAGAATATATATTAAGTAGAAAATATGAGACGACTCTGAATAAGCAACCCCTTGTATCCTGTAAACTGGCAAAGACGTTTTGCTTAACACAATTAAAAATTATTTTTTACATTAAAAGTGATCATTTGAAATGTACGTTACTGAAATGTACGTTACCATGAAATTCGAATTAAGTGAATCTCGCACGAATTTTCATGTATTCTCATACTTTCACACACTCGAATGTGTACACAAAGGAAAGTTTCAAAGGTTGGAGGTCGGCTAAATCCCAAATTAATGAAAAGAAACGTTTCTGCTTAGGAAAATAAAATATATTAAGGTCAATTTTATGTAATATAATTTTGATACCTGGTATATATTTCTGAATACGAAACCTGTATGATGCATTTCTTATGATATGCAAGTTCAAATAGTATCAATATATTGCGTGTCTAACGTACGCTTGTGGAAGAGAATTGATTTTTATATTTGAAATGTACGTTACGTATGGTAACGTACATTTTACGTATTTCTAACTGACATTTTTTTTTAATTTAGTCAATGAATTGCGTTTACACGAGCGAAACAAAATTATCGTTACAATCCATTTGACAACTGGCCACATAAATCCATCTAAATGCACCCCCAATCCTCGTAAATGTTTTAGACTGTTACCACATGCTAGAAAATTTATTTTTAAGTGTTTTAAATTCATCTTTGACAACCTTTTTGCAGGTGGTTTACTTTTAATATGCGACTTTTCGTCAATATTAATTTAATTGTTTTTGATAATTCAAAATAAAACAATGTATGCATAGGCTTATAATTGGTATAAAAAAAAGAAACAAAACAAAACAAATAAACCCAGAACACAAGACGGTCACGTACATTTCAAATACTGAAAGGCACACAATACTCAGTTTTGTTTGAATCATTGCATTTTGGGTTATATTTTTCCAGATCTGCTGAAAAGCACGTATGTTTGTGATTTGAAAAACGATGTTGCAACATACTAAAAGAAATTGTTAACAAACTGTCGATGGATATATTCGGAATATAGATTTATGTTAAGTTTCAATGGCCATACACGAACATTTGTTAGATCATAGCAAAATACGTCTGACTCTTATATTTTTTTGTCTGTACCCTTGCACACAGTTAGAAGTAACTAGGCTACGACCGGTGTCAATTTCAGCGAAAGAGCACAAAAGAATGGAAATGAACTGAGGTGGAGGGGACTCCCCAATAATATGTAAAATGAACGTTACCGAAGTGACGAGACATAGTCGATGATAAATAACCTCTTTTGTTACATTATAATTTCTTAAATTACTGCCTTAAAACGCTTCATTGAAATGATTTTTATGTCAATAATTGCTTTTTTTTCTCAATATTTTCTTATTACTTATTTACATATTATTACAAGCTTGAAATGTACGTACCTACTCATATTCTGAGCAATCGTATCTTTATAGTGGTGATTGTGACATATAACACAATGCGATTACATAGAGAATCTTTTTGGAATGAACTGAAACAAAACGATGAATTTTTAGATTAATTTTAAGCTTTTTATTAAACAGAAATTTATCTTGAAATGTACGTTACATTTACGCAGTTTTCTAAATCGGCATGGATATATGTTAAAAAGACAGTAACTACAAAATAGAATTTTACTACATGTACATGTTAGGTTCCAGTATCTATAGAAAATGACAAGATTCCAAACTGATCGCTCTAAACAAAACAGAGAGAGAAATTTAAAGCATATATTTAAAAAATGTTTTTATACATCTGGATCAAAAAGTAACCCTTGTTTTTTGAAAGGAAAAATAAAACGCACGTTCGTATGCCGAGAAAATATGTTGCTGACAGAGTTGGTAGGATGTGCTGGTGTCAAGATGAGATATTCCAATTGTGATTTGAATGACTACATTTTTTTTTACATATCTTTTTGGACATTGAAGAAAGAGTAACGTACATTTCAAGCTATATTTCGGAATAAAATCACCCTCTACTTTATCGTCTTGTCATTATTCCATGTATTATAATTTGATGAAAAAAATCTGGAAACAAAATCTTCAGATACTTTCTTTCAAAGGTAATTGATAGAAAAATTGTTATCTTGAACTTCATTTTTTAAAAAATCAGAGAGGCATTTGTGCCCTTATATTGAGAATGGGTGACTATGGAAAAGTTCCTTGAGAGTTGATATTGGGCAGAAATTTTAAGCAACACGAAAACACACAAAACACTCCTGTGAAGACTTTAGCTGTACAAATTGACTTTAATCCAATGTGACAAGTCAATCTGTATAAATACAGTTAAATAATGGAGAATTTATATACCCTAGGCATAAAATAAATTTATCTTTATTCCTCGCCAGGCTTTATTCTCCGAATCGTCATCGGACGACCCGAGGGTTCGAGTCTAGAGCATGCTTCACGATACTGCTGAGAGGCCTTAAAATAGTCCAAATATTCATCACAAATATCTCTCTATGTATCTATCTGTTATGGGACGCTCGTTGGTGATATAAATATTCAGATCTCCCCTGAGAGGAATGTCAGGTGGCTATTTGAATTAATTTCATACAAATAACTGCTCCACAATGGTGTTCTTTTGAGCACTCAAGTTGTTGATTGAGTTTTGTAAATGTCTTTCCATCTTTGTCCACGTTCGAATCGCTACTGTTTCTGCATCTATCTTCAAATCCCATTACCTTCATTGTTCATCGGTATTTTTTATGTATTCTGTCTTTGTTTCTTTTTTTGGCCATGGGTTCTTTTGTTTAACAGACTAGTTGATCTGTTATCTATTATTTGTTCTTGCATAGTTTAATGTTTTTATATCACTGCATGCACTATACTCATGTTTTAATCCTCGTGCCTGTGCTTTAGGTTTTACTTTGCAAAGTTTCTTTTTAACATTTCTCCTTAGTACAATCACTTTTATGATTTCTGTTGACTGCCAAATTTTGCATTCTTTCTTCATGACCCAGTCCTCCCGTTTTTACATGAATTGTATGGTTTCCACTCTTCACTGGGCTGTCTTCAATAGTTGGTAGAGCTTGGAAACAATTTGGAAGTTGTATAACATTATAGAATTTTGTCTGCTTATAAGAGTCTTTGAGCTTTTTGATGTCGAGGATGTCTAATTCTTTTTGCTTTTTTGTATTTTGATCTTTAGTTTGGCAACCTGTAGCCAATCGGGATCAATGCCTGCCATTTTCTGTATGACCTTGTATCTTCCTAGTTTTCTTGGTGATCAGAGTGATCAGTCCGATATGTTGTTTCTCCAACAGTTGTTTTGTGGTTGACCTTATCGGGCAAAATGGTTCTCTTATTATCATGCCATTTCATGTTCAAAATTTGCAAATAGTTCTCCGTTTCCAATCTTTTCGCTTGTTAGACTCTTTTCTTGAAAGTGTAAAACGACATCAAGGATACGAAAACGCAAATAAATAAATGAAACTCAAAATCAGCTGATTTTTTACAATTACTACTTGGTATATAATTTTATTTCATGTTGTACACCTAAATGGACTGCTATTTTCCTGTTGTATTCAGGATTAAATGTCTCTTTTTCTCCAGTTTGATTCTCCATTTGTCGGAAAGAGACAAATCTAACAGCAAGATCCATAGACATAGCAATGTACGAACAAAGCTGGTAGCATTTCAAAAAGAAAATAAAGGATACAATTCATAGAAAAAGTGCCAATAACTTGAAAATTCACCATGCTTTGTAGGCGTATATACATGTAGATGATACAGAAAGAATCCTGTTTATATGAATAAAACACAATGAGCAACCCCATGAAGAAAATGATTGAAGTGATAACTTATATAAAAATAACCGTGGTATTCCATAAAAAAGTTAGATACTTCATTATCCTGAAACAAAACAATATTTTATTTAAGACCATTGAAATCAACCTACACATGCACATTATCTGAAAATTCATTTCCCTTTCTGGATGGAAACAAACTAAAGGGCACCTGCCCTCTTTCCGTTTTTTGTTATCTATATAATGGTAGTTCTCAATAAATTATATCTGTCAATTCAGTTAAGTTCAGGCAATGCTTCCAGGATCAAAAATACTCATAATAAATTTTTATTTTATTATAACGTTTTTTTTATCATTCTTAACAAAACACCTGTTAAGGATGGTTTTCACGATGACTTTTAGATTTTATACATGACTGGACTTCTATTAAAAGACATATATGGAATACATAATGTTATACTTCTATAAACAAATACAAATTCTATGCATGTCTAGATTAAAATGTGCTTCTCAATGTTATGTGATTATTAGGTTGGAAAAAATTGAGAAAATGTGGAGACTATGTCTCCATCTTAATGAAATTTACATAAGTTTTTGTTTAAGATGAGATAATACAACAAAT